AAGCCTAATATTCTGGGAAAGTGATTGTTGTACTCTAGTGGATAGTGGTCATTTTGGCATTGTTATAACATTACCATAGGTTCCTATGGCATTATGTCATATCTTAAATTGTAGTCTGGTGAGTGAAAAAATCATATATTGTGAATGATGGGGTACTTTTTCGTTGGTCTGAATTATTTAAAAAATCTGGGTTTTTAAAAGTGTCAAAAATGAAATTTTGAAAAATATATTCAACAAGTTTCTCAAAAACGTCACAGTAACAAACAAAAGAATGCTATTTCATGTTGCCATGGGACAATAGCGTTATAATCCAATGAACATTATCATGCGATTTATGACCAGTTATCTAAATACTAGTAATTATGAGTAGGCTTGCAATAAAATACAAAACATCTGATTCATAATTCATATATATAAGACTTTTATATTAATATGTTACCATATTTCCTAATCACCTAAATTAAACCCATATGAACATGTCAAATAACAACAGTGAATATTCTCAAAATAGTGAAATTAAATGCCAGAGAAAAAACAAATATTTACAGTATTACAAAGTAACTCTTTGACATAGATGACTATAGAAGAAATAATGAATATTAAGCTCACCTCGGTCCTGTCTGCCTTGGCACTGAATTGGATACTGTGGATTGACAATCTAGAAAGTGATCCATCTGAACTAGTGGAAGGTACTGAATGTTCAGGAATGGTTGGAGAAATCGGGCTGCTTCTGTCAGATATGGAAACCTGCTCAATGGAGCCAGTACTGGAATGGGGGCCCGGACTCACCCGAGAGGCCGATGGGATTTTGATCCGAGAATAGTAAGGCAGTGACTGATGGCCATCTCTCATTTCAAAACTATGAGGTGAGTTTCTAAGTGGGCTGTGAATTGGCGACCTGCGCGTAAAATCTAGACTCTGGTTCAATTCACGACGAGAAGTATTAGGGCTTGAAATGTAACCATCTGAATGTGTCTCCGGGCATGGACTTGTTCGTCGTTTGCGATCAATATCCTGTGGTGTTATCGAAGATCGCGGACTTGAAGAATGATTTAAAAAACGTGGTGTTGGCGGTTTACTGGCGATAGCTGGTCCATCATTGCGCTCTATGTTCTTACTTTTTGCTGTGAAAAAAGGCACATCTTTAAAAGTAACCACAGTTGTTGTAGCATGGGTTTCTATTGGGTATGAATGTGGTGAAGTGCGTATCTGAGTACCGTTTACATAAACAGGACTGGGAGATATTTTAGCCTCGGCACGACACACCGTAAGAGAAGAGTCAGAGTTCACCAAAGGGGATACCACAGGTTTGTAAATGTTAGGTTTAGCAATGTCCAATGTTGTTGGCTTCTGAATCATTTCTGCTCTGACAGTGTGTGGATGGTTTTCTTTTCTTTTCAAAGGTGCAGACTTTGGTCGTGGATCTTCATTAATATCACTGGCTGAAACAACCGAGTAATCCATAGTTGTATCTGGGGTGGAAAGAGTCGGAAAATGTTTGTATTCATTGCCATTGTTTTGGGGAGGTACAGCATGTAGGTGATTGGATGTCATTGTTATTGTAGATGCACCTGAGGGTGTCGGTGTATGTTTTGGCGTTATACTATCAGCAACAATGGTACTAGCTGAATCAGAAGAATGCGTTGATGACTGTCGACTGTGTTTATTAAATGATGAATGGTTCAGTGATGAAATTCTATCAGGAGGAATCGGAGGTATCTCCCCAGAACCTTTAATGTTGTCTTTGGTTGGAATTTCTATGTACCTCCGCCATTCATATCCATTTGCAATTGTAACCCTTTCTTTTGACTTCCTGTGGCTAATATACACCCCTCCCCCTTTTACTTCATATAGTTCAGGAGCTCCACGAGATTTTGGCCAAGTTCCACTGCTTTCTTTTTCCTTAGGCCATGCTTTTTTATATCTTGTACTTGGGTGTTTTTTCATTTGTGGCAATGATGCTAATTTGTTGTCGTCGTCTGGTGACTCAATTGGCGGTGGCGGAACGCGAAACACAGGGGGATCACGGTATTTTGGACTCTCTTTGGGTCGTGAAATAACTGTCACCTCTGGTTCTGCTGGAAGTGCACGAGATGAGTGGGATTCATGATTTAAGTATTCACAGTATGCACCATTTTGAAGTGTTGGAACAATTCCATTGTCTGTCTGCACACACATGTTTTTGACATTCTGGAGCTGCGTCTTTATCTCCTCCATAATCTCACCATGAGAAGACGAATACTGCAAGTTAGATTTTGTAGAGTCTGAGTCTTTGTCGTGGAGAGAATCAAACATACTGTTTCCACTGACAGTAGATGTTGTAGGACTTCGGAGAATAGATAATGCAATGGAGTCTCCTGTACTTTCAAGCAGCTTTTCAACATCAGATGCTGTTTTGTTTTCTATTGGTGAACCATTTACCTGTGACACATAAACCCATAAACACAAATTGTCAAAGATGGGATAACACATTTCAGAAATTTAATATAATTTATATTTTAGTTTAGACAGAAATTAACCTAATTTGACTGTTGATCAAAGAAAGTTTAAGATTTTTGAACAATGAAAAAATAACAAACTGTTTTCAAATTATTTTGATCAATGAAAATACACATTTTAAGTTGCAGATTATGCTGAAAACACAGATTGTTAAGATACGGTGGTTAGCAAATAGTTTCCGCAGTACATACACATCACTCCAATCTTTGTCAGTTACTTACATAAATTACTCTGTCCCCTACAGTTAGATTGCCTTGAGCTGCCACTGAATTTGGAGCAACACGACTAATGAAAATGCCCTGCTCTAATGAGAGGCCAATGTCCTTTCTACCAGTCAAATTCAGATGGATGGACTGCAGTGCTTTACCACTAGAGGGCCTCCTTCTCTTGATCACCTGCAAAAAAACATGCCAGCTTTCAGAATGTGGTCAACTTTAGTCACAAATCAATAATGCATAATTTTTTCTAGGTTTTTCAACAAGTAGCCTGTCGGCTGAGATAACCCCGGTGTTAGCAATGCACATTGCAATTAAAGAACAGAAGATATCATTAGAAATATGTATAGTATCAAAGCAATCAGACTTGCTGTTTTCACAAGAATTCAGAGATGTCAATTTTCACCGAAAACGACAAAAATATTCACCAAAATTAGAGAATTGATGATATCATCATGAAATGAACTAATCTAAGAGACGCCTACCCAAGGTACATATACACCAAGTATCAAAGCATTCAGGCTTGTAGTTTTCAAGAAGAAGTCGAACAAGTAAAACATTGACACGGACGCCGCCAGACAATTACACTCCTATGATAATCTCTGCTCGACAAAGTCGACAATGGAGCTAAAAATTCATCAAACCCAATATTTAATGAAGAATTATGTCAATTTGGTCAAATAAACAATGAAATTGAAGACAATACTTAAAATATACAAAACGTTGTATCAAAATTTTGAGACTCACAGGGTTAAGTCATTTGAATTTTCAGCAAGCAATGTACTTCTTGCTTACAGTTTGCAGACAATTTTGCCTGTAACTAATTTTTATTTACTTAAAGAAGTCTGTTAAGCCATCTGCTTATCTTCCATAAAGCTCTCATCTCATGTCAGTCATCCTGTGGTAATCTCTTACTTATTGCAACAATTACACAGTGATGTGAAAATAAAGCACGTCTCTCATAAAATCAACGTTGTTTCCATCTCGTATCAACGTTGTTTCCATCTCGTATCAACGTTGTTTCCAT